CCAGTCCTTCCGCGGATGCATCCGCACCCCCCGCGCCCAAGTCCCTCGTCGAACTCACCTTCTTGGCTCCGCCTCCTGCTCCGCCTACTGCTCCCCCTTCCGTTCCGCCAGTTCCAGCCGCCGCTTCCTCCGCAAGAACGCGCTGCTTCTCCGCATCGAACCTAAGAGTGAATAACTCGTGCTCGAGCCGCACTATCTCCATCCTAGCCTCGGACAAGGAGTGTTTTAATTCCTTACTTCCCTCCGTACCTCCCCCATCCTCACCCTTCCCTTCCCCCTCGCCCGCATCCTTGCTTTCCTTGCCACCCTTCCGCTCACCATCCGCACCGTCACCGCCGTCGTCGCCGCCGGTCGCGGTCTGCTGGCGACGCCGCAGCCCTTCGGCTTCGAATCGAGAGACGAAAAGGTCGTGTTGCAGGCGTTGCACCTCAAGCTTCGCTTCCGCTAACTCACTCTCCACCTTGTCTTTCTCGCCCGCCAACCGCTCCACCTCTCCCGCTAGCTTCTCCGCCTCTCCCCCCGCGCCCATCCCGCGGGCTCCCCCGCGCCTGAGCGCGCTCCCCGCGCCAACGTACGCGCCTGCTCCGCCGCCAGCCCCGGAAACATACTGCGGAGGAGAGCCGATGGTGGAAGGGGGAGCACTGGTGTTACCAGTTACCAGCACCCCGTTAGGCCCAGGTAACGGTTTTCCGCGGCCGTACTTGAAGCCGCGAGTACCGTCGGGACCGCGCGGCTGAATTGGTTTGATGTCTTCTGTCGGGTGCGGGTGAGGATGGGGAGTCGCCACCGACCTCGCAGCTGCTCGCCTAGCGTGGTAACCCGATGCAGAGGCTACGTCGGTAAGACCGCTCGCAGGTGCTGAGGCCTTGTCTGGCTCCTGAAAGCAGAGGGAATCGCAGCAAAAAAAGGAATTAGAGAAAAAAAAATAGGAAACGCAACGGGGAAACAGAACTGATAAGAGTTCTTCAAAGTTAAAGAACGTACGAAAACATAAAATGCTTACCTTGGTGGAATTAGGGCTGCCGTCAAATCCAGATCCATCAGGACTCGACACGGAGTTCGCTCTCTCGTGAGCCGCATAATTCCCTTTCTCCTGCACGGCTCCGTTAGACGCGGTGGTAGATGGAGCCATTATCGCCGTCGGAGTCACCAATTTCGAGACTGGCGCGAAGCCCGGGGGAGGACTCACCATCCGATGCATGCTTGCAGGGCTGGTTTAAAAAAAAAAAAACACTTAACGGAAGGGTAAATTTTCAGATGTTCCTAACGCTGCTCAAACCGTCGCAAGCTAGCGCCTTGAACACGCAGAAGTTTAACAGAGTAATTTTCTTCTTCTTCACGATGAAACGGTTGTGGTAGTTGCTAAATTGATAACCTTCCTTCCAGGCAGGACCCAGTTGATGCGAGAGCCCAGCGCAGAGCTTGACCAGCAGCTCAGCTAACTTGAAGGCGAGTTTACTGATGCCAACCGACGAAACGTTGCGACGAGCTGGCAGGTCAATGTAGCACGAAGGCAAGGAGGATTTGGAGTTGAGGAGAAATAAGGAAACTGTGAATGGGAATGTTGGGAATGTGGAAAAAGTGGAGGTCGGAAGAAGCAGAAATAGGGACAAGGCAGAAACGTGCAACAGAATCGAGCAGGCCATGCCAATGTGAATGAACACCTACTGCCCTCTCTGGAAGGGGTGGTTTGGCTGGGCCGTGTGTTACCAAACGGATATACCATAAGCTGGCGAGAAGCTTGCGAAATCACGAAATAACGAAGAAGAGGCTCGCCCTAGTTTCTCTTGTTCCCTCTTTTGTGGGTGAACTAGTGAATCGACGACCAATAAGCAAGCATGCGGTCTGTTTGGAAGCTTGTCATTCGCCGACGACTGAATTGGAGAGGTGGCTTGGCTCGACAACGACGGCTTTGTGCCTCCCATTGTTCATTGCAACTTTGTTGCGTACACCAAGTTAGTGTATGCTCACTTTAGATAGGATTCACATAACACTCAATACATAATCTCAAGAGATTATCATATGTTGTAATTCATGTATAATTCTCTTTTATTTTAATTTTACTCACACAAGGCTTACTGGAAATAAAAACTTTAAAGTCCCTTTTCAAACACCTAATGGTTGTCTTCTGATTTGCTCATACGTGAGATATCGGCTGCAATATGTAGTGTGTTTTGTTGGCCCTTGTAGCCTAATCTTGTTATAGTGGACACATGCAAGTCGACCGTGGAACGACGTGGAAAGATAATGCGGATATTCGCTTTCTCTAGTCGTCAACTGCCACGTCTCTACTCGAATCCAGCGCGGCACTCGTCACACAGAAGCAGAAATCCAGCAGAGCAAAGCGCCACTGCAGGCCAGCTGTACACACGTGAGATTTTGTCGTAAGCGGGCATCATATGCGCCCAATACCCTGCTTTCGAGTTAGCCCAAGTCATTGAGGTGAGCAAGATCGGTCTGCCCGCTCCTTTTTATAGAAAAGTGCGTTTCTGGCGTGTGTACGGCACATTGCACAACTTGCACCCCAATTAACCTTCCTAGCTGGACCTCTTCGTTTCTCTGATCGAGCTGAGTGCGGCTGCTGCTGAATGCTGGCCTGACCGCTTTCACAGCAGCACCATCACCGAAAAAGGGTGTGCACGGGGGAACGAGTCCCACTGGGTCAATGCTCGTGCCAACAGAGAGCCCAGCCCCCTCTCATTGGGGGAGCGAGCAGAACGCATTTAGGGCCGCACGGTCCAGCTTTTACAGCACCCACATTTTAGCAAGCTTCTCCCACAACTGACACTGCTACCCATACTACCTTGAGTGGACTCATGTTTCTTGTCTTCATAGTGGCCATTCCTACACTTTCTGCTCCCTCTTCAAAACGACCTAGCTTAGAATACATCTTCGGTACTACGTAGTACGTTGTTCGGCAGTGGTTATTTCCTGGATTCCCCAAATCTTTTTACCTCGCTTGCCCTTTCCGATATCATTTACCATCATACAGCGGAATCTGATGGCGGCTCCGGCAATGGTCAATCAAGGAGGGAAAGCCATGATTTCAGCGCTCATGCCAGCCGCCTGTCAACTGTCCTTCGCCCTTCTCCGCGTCGCCCAGCGTTGCGCCGCGGAACGCGCCGCCAATGCCGCGCTAACGTGCGGCGACCACGTCAACCAGCGTCGCAGCGCCCCACTTCCATCCCTCCCGGCGCCGACCGCCCATCTCAATTCCGAAATTGGCGGTCAAGTCGAGGCGCTGGCGTGCTACGTGGCGTCCGTCAACCCCGGCGCGACGTCGACCGTCCTCGCCGCTACAACCATCAGCAGCACGATTGCCGTGTCCCGCGTTCCTACGCTGGCTGAAGCGACAGGCTTGTGCAAGGTCACAAATGCCGCTGATTACCTGCGAAGCATTATGGAAAATGCTACCGTATCTCACGCTTCTAGCGGATGTCAAGCTTCGCCTGCCATGTCGCTTCCGCACCTTGCGACAAACGAGCATCCGAGCCTTGAAAAGCGCTTCGGGGCGTTCAACGGTCCCAAGAAGGTCCGCACGTCGACAAACTTGCCGCTTCGGGCCGCGCCTCCGACCAAACCTCTCAGCGAAGACAGGCCAGGAAAGAGCACTCCGACCCTTGTCGGCTGCTTCGAACCTGCTCATCCTTCGAGAGAACGTTCTGCAGTTCGTATTCCATCCTTTGTGCGCTGCTCGTTTGCGGTTTCTGCTGTACAGAGTTCCTGGGCCGATCCTGCAGCAGCCATGGCTGATCGCATAGCGGAACCAGCAATTGCGCTTCCCGATCATGCCAGCAATGGAAGAGCTTCCCGTAGCTTGGCTAAGCAATTTGAGGATTTTCACATGGCGAGGAACAAGGTGCGAGCCTCCTTTCACATGGCTGTTCGTCTGTCGGAGCGTGCGGCCAGCCAACAAGCTCTTGGAGAGCAGGAGGACGCCTAGCCAATTACCGACCCATGTCCATATGTGAAGGCTCATTAGTGCGACGTCAAGGGGCACACAATAAGTGCTGTCCGGTAATAAAAGTAACTAGTCTGGTATTTTTAGCTAGTTACGTAATGGGTGTTTTTTAGACGTACTAGAACTACAGTTTTTTTTGTTCTTGTATTTAGACTGCATTATAGATTATATTGATTCTTCTATCATTGGATACCACTACTACCGTAGCTTGCATGCTTTCACCTGCTCAATTCTGAACTCATGCCCTTGTCATGCCACCTACCCCAACAACCTTGTTACCATGATCGTCGCAGCGGCCATCGCAGATGTACAAAATCCAAGGATATCTGCCAGAGCAAGTAATGACGCTTCGCAAAACAGTCCCACCTCCCCCATCGTCAATAATGCGCCCCGCTGTTCGTCGCAAACCATGGAAGTGGCGAGCTGAACGAGAAGAATCAAGTTTCATCGATTTCCGACACATACCCACCAGTGTTCCCCACCAGTCGCTTCCATACTAGTCCTTGGAAGTCATCATCGGGATCATGTTGCTCGAACTCATGTGCCTCAGTATCTTTCTTGTTGAAACCATCTCCTCCGAGATCATCGTTCAGTCCGGACGCTTTAGGATGTTGTACCCTCTTCTTAATTTCTGAACACAGCGGGTAGGATGTTCAACTCTCGTCTCATCCTCCTCCTCTCACTCCTCGCCTTTCCCAAATCATCCACCCCATCCGCACAACTCCCAAGGCCAGCAAACTCCTCTCTCTGGTTGCTCGACGCGCACCCGTCCGGCCTTGTCAGCGTCACTCCACTCTATACTCGATCCAGCTTCCGGAGCGATTTGATCTCGCCTAAAACTTTCGATGCAACTGCTAAACGTCAAACGCGCCTCGGGGATGCGCGTCTGGTGGGAGGTAGTATGAGCGGAAGCCATGATCAAGTCGGAGCTTCAGGTGCAGTCGTTGCGCAGAGCGAATCTTTCTCTCGCAGAGCCTTGGATCCTCGGGGAATTGTGACTGTAGACGAGGCTGAGACGTCTCGATATCCTCGCAGAGCCATGGATCCTCGGGAAATTGTGACTGTGGACGAGGCGATGGCACGGACTGTATGGAGTAGACGGGCGGCTGCGAGAAAAGCTGCTGGTTTTGCTTCTGCTTCTGCTACTGCTTCTGCTGCTGCTGCTGCTGCTGTTGCTGTTGCTGGTGGTTCTGGTGCAAGAGCTATTGGTGCTGGTGATGGGGTTGGTGCTGTCGTTGCTACTGGCGCTTCAGATTCTGCGGATCAGCAGCTTCCAATCAAGTGCCATGGCGGGAAGCTCATGACTCGGCCAATCACGGTGTATGTAATCTTCTATGGCTCATGGCGCAAGAGCCAGATGCGCATCGTGAAGAACTTCATCCATTCGCTCTCTAATACGACGACGACGCCCAGTGTAAGAAAAGCAGGAGGGTCAGTGCGTTTCCATTCCTCTGCTATGCATCACTTCATCATGCGTGAACCCGTGCTACATAAGTGCATCTGCCATGCATTCTCCCATTCTCGCTTTTGCACTAACCTACATTCCCCGCTTACTTGTGCTTAAATTACTTCCAACTGACGTGGCAGGAAGAGAATCTTGCAAGAGTGGCGGATTGGTGGAGGATCAACACGTGGTACACTCAGAAAGGCAGGAAACGAGTGACCTCCCAGGTGAGCCTGTCCCACCTGTTCAAGCTGATGGACTTCCTTTCTCTTAAAGCCCATCCATCTTTTCTTTTTCAACTTGCTTCCATATTTAATCTTCTTCGCTCCCCGTCTCTCACCACCTTCTCACAGTTTATAACTCTTAAATAAACCCAAGTGTTGCTGCCCACGCACCTACAGGTTCGCCTGGGAGGGTCAGTGCGGGACAGGTACTCTCTGGGGAAGGACGTATCTAACGACATGCAAGGAGTATGGAACAGTGAGATACTGTAGCACTTTGTTATAATCACGTCTTCCTCGTTCTTCTGTAATGTCCGTCTTCCTCTGATCTCCTCTTTTGTAGTCGTTTTCCACCTTCTCACGCTCTTCGTTCATTTCCTCTTATCCCTATCCCCATACTTCTTCCAACCCCACAGTTTTATCCTTTCTCACTCTTATCTCTAATCCCGTGTTTGTACCATTTCCAACCTCCTTCCCGTATGTTATTATCTTCCACCCAAGCCCGCTCACAGTTGTTGCTGCTCAGCTGGCCAACCGAACCTTCCCCCGATCCTCTCGAGCCCAGTACCTCGTCCTCTCCAGCGCGGACGTCAGGTTCGGATCCTCTCGACCCAACTCCGGCTTCTGCCGAACCTACTGCGGGTGGCACTCGTACGCGGAAGTCTCCCGGAAGATTCTCAAATTCGCATTCGTGGGGAACGCGGAGGAGCAGTGTCCCAGTGGGTGCAGGAGAGGGTTTGGGATGCGGGGGAGTGCGAATGGGTGGAGAGGGGTGGACGGCATGGTGAGCATTGTGGGGCATGAGATTGCAGAAGCGGCCACGAATCCTGTGTTCACCCGAGGATGGTTTGATGACGAAGGGCAGGAGAATGCTGACAAGTGCCAGGTGCGTGGGGTGGAACAGGGCAATGGGGGAAGAGGGGGGGCAGGGAGGGGAGGGGCAGGAGGGGGAGAGGGAGGGGGGGCGAGGGGGTTATGTAGAATAATTTGATCACAAAAATATGGGTACATCATAAAGAGGCATGTGTTATGAGTCGCAAAGCCACTCCATACCGCCCCTGCTCCTGCACATGCACCTCCCTTTGACTAGAGCAGCAGCAGCAGCATTAGGAAGTGGGGGAAAGCTATTCCTAAAAGTTGGTGGGATGTGTGCAGTCAGATCACCTGTATTTCCCCCTTTCTCTTTGTCTTCATCCCCCGCCCCTTGCCCTCGTCAGGTTGACTTCGGCCCTTCCAGCAGCATAAGGACAGTGGGGGACAGGTATGCCTACAACATGGTGGGGCAGGGCGGCATGCGCTGGCTTATCCAGTCAAACTGGCGGCCGGGCGGCGAGGACGCAGGGTGCGTGTTGCGGGGTCCGAGTGAGAGCGAGGTGGCGGAGTGGGCGAGGGAAGAGAGAGCGAGAAACAACAGGAAACGGGGGAGGAGGAAGAGGAAGAGGGTGAGCGTGCGTGGGTCCTTAGCAGGGAGTCCAGATACGGTGTATGTGAGCAGCGCTGGGTTATTGAGTGGAGTGGACGACAGGCCTGGCCCTGAGAAGTCAGTTAAGTCTGCTGCTTTGGGTGCGAGGGTTGGGAGAGAGGACAGCAGCAGCACCATGCACAGTTCTCTTGAGTTAACCCAGACATCACTTGTGATTCAAGGGGGAGGCGGGGAGGGAAACGGGTATGAAGGGTCAGGTGCGGACGGAGTAGATGGCAGGAGCAGTGGCGGAGACGGCAGCAGCATCAGCAGAGGGTGGCACAGGTATCCATGGCACCAGCAGCATCACCAAGAACCAGGAGGGCAGAGTATTGGTTAAGCAAATGCATTGGCTGGTGTGATCGGCAGCAGTGGCAGCATGGCAGCGGAGGCGGCGGCAGCAGGAGCAGCGACAGCAGAGGGTGGCACAGGTATCCATGGCGCCAGCGGCATCATCAAGAACCACGAGAGCAGAGTATCGGTTAGACAATCCCATTGGCTGGTGTGAGCGCAGTCTAATTGCACTTGCACAATAGATAGCCAGGCCATCCCGTACAGGGGGCAGTAAAGTCCCTCCTATTAGATGTTGCATTAATCATTGTTTTCGTTTTTTTATTCATTGGTCCTCATATCCCAGATATATCAACCTGCTTTTTTTTTGGCTGTAACATGAGCAGGCGGATTGATCTGGCAGAGTTACAGGGCAACCACAAGCTGTTTCAAATAAAGGCAGACTCATCTGGTATACAAGCATAAAAAATAATACGGTACGTCTTGAATAACGCACATTGAATGTGCGGTAGCAGAATAGAGTTATTCAGGCACACGAAAACTTGCTTTGTACGGGAAAACAGAATTCACTGTGTAATCCAAAACTATACACAATGCCCTCCCCTTCCACTTCTCTATCCTCACTTCAGGCAGGGATCTCTCGCCATCACTTCAGTGACCAGCATGGACCCTCCTCCACCACCCCTGCTCCCACCCCTCTTTCCACACTGCCTGTCTCCCCTCTATAGCTCCATCCACGAGTGACCAGCAGGTGACGAGTCACGGCACTCCTTTCAACTCCAACCTTCCCGCCGTTCACCTGGGTGGTTCGAGCACGTTCCACCACGAGTTGTCGCGCTGCCCTGTGCTGGCAGAGCCCTCTGTGGTGGCCAGTGCCGGGGACGGGTCAGTGCGCTTCCTGTTCTTCCTCTGCTGCCGCCGCTCGTTTCTCTTGAACATCTGGAGCGAAACTTCCGTGAACCCACCAGCCTCTTGCGTGCCGGACCTAGCCATCAGGTCCGTCACCCATGCCTGCGGCTCATCCCCCTCAAAATGCGCAGGCCCGGGCACAAACAGCCCATTCCGAATCTCCTTCAACATCCTCGCCTCCCGCATGTGGAAAAACGGATGCGCGAGCGCAGCCTTGGCATTAATCCTCCTCTTCCCTTCTTTCCTCAGCATCGCCTCAAGCAACCCCCAGCCATGGCCATCATTCTCATCCAGTAGCTCAAGGCGCCGCATATCGTCCGCTGTGGCCCGGAGCTCAAACTTTTCGCGCCATGCGGACAGGTTGTAGTCGAGCTTTTTGAATTGGCGGGTGAAGGCGGCGAGACTGGCGTCGGAGCGGAGGGAGGGGAAGAGCATTTGTAGGAAGACGAGCCCAGCGCTGTACATGTCAAAGCGGTCAGGGTGGTTCATCTGGCGGGAAAAGCGGTTAAAGGAGAGGAAAAAGGGTTGGAAGGCAATAAGGGAGAGGTGTTAAGAGGAGAGGGTAAGAATGCGGTACTGTTATTTCGCATCAGGTGGTTTGCTTGACTGAGGAGAACCTTCGTGGCTCACAAAGAGAAAGGTAAGAGACGAGACCCTCCGAGGGAAACGGGGGCGTTTAGACATGTCAGATGGTGCTCAGAAGAGATCAAGGTTCATGTTGGGAGTAGCAGCAAGCTCAAAACGATCTCAAAGCCTCCAAACTTCGAAAAACCCTTAATCACAAACGGGGGCGTTTAGACATGTCAGATAGTGCTCAGAAGAGGGTTTTCGGGGTTGGTGGGGAGGAGCGGGGAGGGGTTTACCTGCCAGAGGACGGGTGCGAGGGCGGCAGCAACAGGGGCTGGCGGCGCGCTTGGTGTCTGCGTGCTCATAATGTACTCCTCCGGTGCTGCGTAGCTGCATGGGGGAGACGGAGAATGGGGCGGCAGGGAAGGATGGAGAGGGGTGAGGAGGGGTGCACTGGGTGTCTGCGTGCTCATAATGTACTCCTCCGGTGCTGCGTAGCTGCACGGGGGGAAACATCACGGAGAACACGGCGGTAGGGAGGATTGGAGAGGGATGAGGAGCGGTACGCTGGGTGGTCACGCTCATGATGTACACTCCCTTTGGGACCGATCGCACCAGTCGCGTTTGGGACTCACCGCTTCAAGTGCAGTGTGGCTAGGGGCGGATAGGGGCTCACCGCGGGTCCAGCAGGTACTGGTCGGGGTCGTAGTTAATCCCCACGCGCAGATCCGCCGCGGCGCCCAGGTCGATGATCTTGAGCGCGCCCTTCTCCTCGCAGTAGATCATGTTTTCGGGCTTCACGTCGCGATGCACGATGCCCTGGCTGTGCAGCTTCTCCAGGGATGTCAGAAGGCGCCGCATGATCTCGCGCGCCACGTGGAGCTCCCTCTCCGGGCCACGTGGCTCGTCCGCCGGCGGCGCCTGATTGCCGAAGAGCGTCTTCTCGATCTGCTCATGGCAAGATAAATTTAGGATGTCGAAACCGTTTATACGGAGTATATAGAGCACAAGTATTATAACGAACCAGTTGTTGCAAAGGGCCAAAAGTGTGTAAACATCAACGATGAAGTTATTCCGGTGTGTCTCTTATAACTCACATTATACGGGAAGTCGCGGTTCGTTAGAACATCAGCGAACGTCGAGTCGCCTTCGTATCGCCACACCAGCCACACCTCGTCAGACGTGCTGGCAGCCGCGGAAGCCAAAAAGTTCCCCGCGCCCGTCTTCCCCTTACCCCCCTTCACCATGAATCCGCCCAGAAACTCCGCGCACACGTCCGGGCACGCGCGGCGCACGCGCTCGTTCATCCAGAGCTCCACGTCACCAAACTCCGTGGCGCGCTTCACGATCACCTTGTACTCCGGATCCTTCGCGAGCGTACCGACGTACACCGATCCGAACCCACCCTCGCCGATCTTCTTCCCGAGAATGAGATCCGATCGCTTGTACGTTTTGCGAAAGAAACGGTCGATCTTAGCGAGAACGAACATGTCCCAGTAACCCGCCGCGACTCCCGGCGTGGCCCAGAGATACGCGCCGACTTGAAGCAGAAGCGCCGCGCCGGCCGCCGTCAAGTGGTGCTCGTGCGCGAGACTCGAGAGGTAAATCGCGTCGCCGCATTCCATGACGTTACATGGTAACCCGAGTCCTACAGCGAGGGTCATTAACGAGTTGACGTCGTGTGGAGCCGCGTCGCTCACAGATTTGACGGCGTTTACAAACGCGTCGAGCTCTTCGGGACCCAGGCTGGCGCCGCCGGTGAGATCGCATCGCGCGGTGAGAGCACCGCCGCGTTTGGCGCCCTGCCTGGCATAGAGGTGCTGCGCGGCGGAGCGGAGGAGCCGCTGAGTGGCCGGGGACACGAGGAAAGGAGTCAGCTTCACGCATTTCGCGGCAGGGATGAGGCGAGAAGACGCTATCGCTGCTGGTGCTGGCGATATCAAGAGGCGCGCTGATGTTATGGCTGCCATGGTAAGCAGATACAGATAGTACAAGCCTTTCAAGTTACGAATAGAAGAGTTGCTTAGTCTGAAGGATGTCGTTTGCAGCAAGGTAGTGCTTTTGTCGACTGGGATCTAAAGACTGATTCCGTCAACGGATGTTTTTTCGTGATGCAAATGAGAAAGAGCAGTGCGCTTTATGCGGAGAAAGTGATGAGAAGGAGGAGCAGCTCGAGTTACGGGTGGATTTGGATTAGCGCTAATGGGAGGCTAAGGAAGGTTGGGGTGCTAAAAGATGAGGCACGGAAAGAGCCGAAGCTGGTAGGCAGACCGAACCGCGATTTGTGGTAGCTGAGAAGCCGAACCACGACGAGGTGAAGTCGTTGGTAGGGTGATTGGCTTGGTTGGTGGTCTGGATGTTGGGGGGTAGATTTGCTCGATGGCGGTACGCAGCTGATCAGGTTGACCGTGGATGGCACGCGGTGACGAGGCCATCAGCTATGTCGTGCTGGCATGGGTCTATTCCACCTAGACGCGGTACGGGTGAGGTGACCGCACCAATTGTCCAAGCCTCGTATGCAAGCTTGGACCCCGGCGGGAAACTGGTGCAGCCGTTGGGGTGACCGGGCTACCCCGAACATGATCCTTCCGAGCGTTCTGTTTTAGCTGTGCGAGCCGCATCCAACAAACAAAGGCGAAAGTGACAAGGAAACGGGAAAAGCGCGTGCTCTGGCAGTTTGCACAGGTGAGTCCAATCAGCGGAGTTCATTCTAGTGCGTCGGATTGGTTAATGATTCTCAGCCACGCTTGAGGATTCGGAACAGTTGCGTGGAAAGTCGTCGAGTGAAGTGTGGTTGAATGCCGTGCTGAGCTGTTCGCTCCACGCAGCTGGTTGCTGGAACTGCTCAATTTTCAAACACGAAAGAAAATTCGAAATATCCGGGGGAAGAGGATCTTGCGGCTGACATCAAGCGTGCGCTTTTTGAGATCTGACCACGTCATTCAAGCCAAATTCTGTGGGGGACCAGCAAAGACGGTGGCCTGAGGTTGCACCGTGCTGGCGGAGACGGCGCGAACCTTTTTCTGACTTCTGCGTCGCTGGAACATGCGCTGGAATCGTGTGTGGAGGAAACAGCCCACCTGGATGCCGTTGCTGTAACATGTGAGGTCATACTGGCCACTCAGACAAGTGGAAAAGGAACTGATCCAACCTCCTCAATGATATCTCCAGAGCCACGAATTTCACCGCCTCAGTTCAACAACCAATGGTGTGGTGAGTCGTGCCTAAAGCCGTACAGAGTCGGCCGAAGAAAGCAGTGATTTTGGTACAGTAATTTGCGCACAAAAATATCAAACGTGTAACTTCTATTTCCATTCAAGCTTTCAAACACTGACGTTCAGTGTTTCGGGTTTATGTAGTGTAACATATTCAAAGGAAGAGGTTGCCATCATGTATTCCAGAGCCCCAACAACGATCCCATACCGTAGCTCTATTACAAAGAAAATAACCAGCGTGACCACACTTGCTGCTCCCTTGGTGACTAAATCCCTCATTTGTGAAGCTGATTGCTTTGTCATGCACGAGACTCCGGCTGAATCCAGTATATTCTAAGTCACTAAAGGCATGCATGCCACATGCTGCATGCCAAACAATTCATGTTTGCCTAAATTCTGCGTTCACATTTACGTGAGTGTGGTGTAGAGCTCGTCAATTGCCGCTTGGTACTTGGCCTGGAAAGGACAGGAGGGAGCAGATAGAGAAACCCCCCAACATTTGTAAACACATAGACACGTTATCTCGCATGCACAGGCAGAAGCAGATGGAGAGGGAGGTTGGGTGCGTAAGAAACAGAAAGGCTGCTCAAGAAAGAATAGTGAACCAGAAAGGAGCATCACGAGGGCAAGCGAGAGTGATTGCTTGGGATAAACACATCTGGACTGCAACGGTGGCACAACAGCACCTTCAGCTTGCAACGAGTGGCAGCAGAGCAGCACCCTCCTTAAGCTTGGGGCGTGTGAGCTTGAAGGAGGGAGTCATGAGGTCGTTTCAGTGGAGAACACTTATTCTTCCACAGCCATGCCTACCCTTGACCTTGCAGCATTGTGCCTCAGTGCCCTGGGTAAACCTCAGTGCCCAACTCACATTCACCTTGAGGCTGAGAGGCTGAGCATAAGGGGACTACATCTCAGCAGCACCCACCTTTGAGCCTGGGCTTGCAGCAGGAGGTTCACATTACAGCAGCACCCACCTTGAGCTTGGGGCGCTTGAGCTTGAAGGAGGGTGTCATGAGGTCGTTCTCCGTGGTGAAGGCCTCGGCCTCCAGGGTCACGCCCCGCACCACCTCAAACCCCTTCATGCTCGTTGCCTTGGCGCGCTTCACCAGCTCATCCAGGACATACTCCTTTGCTCCTGGGAGGGCGCAGCTGTGGAATAAAAAAAGGATGGTGCAGGGGGGGGGGGGGGGAGGGGGGGCGTGGTGCCACGCTCTCAAGCCATGCATTTCACCACCTCAAAGTAACCCCTTCATGCTCGTTGCCTTGGCGCGCTTCACCAGCTCATCCAGGACATACTCCCTCGCTCCTGGGAGGGCGCAGCTGTGGACAGGAAGAGGAGGGAGCACAGGGGTGGGAGGGGATAGGGAGGGTGGTGTTGAATTCCAAACGAATGCCTCTCATCAGCTCACATGGGCGGGCATACAGGCATGAAGGGCTTGGGGGCATGAGGAGCAACATGCACCTATGAAGGGGATGGCTATGAACAACATGCCTCTCACCAGCTCACATGGAACAACAAGCATGGAGGGCTTGGGGGCATGAGGAACAACATGCACCTATGAAGGGCACACAGCTACGAGGGGCAGCAAGCTAAGCAGGGGAAGCAAGCACTCTCACAGGTCAGCAAGGGATGCCGTGGAAGCCTCGTCAGCAGAGAGGGCTCCTGATGACGTGGCCCAATCAGAGAGCACATCCTTCTCAGGCACCACCACCGCCACCAGTGAGGACTTGAAGCTGAGCCGCAGGGACAGGGGGTCGAGGGACAGGCGGGGTGACGGGTGGCAGGGCAAGGTGATGGGGGGCGAGCAAGGTGAGAAGGAGGGTAGCGCAAGGTGACTGATGGACAAGTGGCAGGCAGGGTGAGGTGGAGAGGGATGGGTGAGAGCACACGGGTGGGCATGTGAGAGCAGAGGGGAAACTATGCACATGGGAGGGCGTGTGTGTGAGGAATAAATTTGCGGTAAAGAGTTTTTTCCGAGACTAATCTGCCTCACACATAAAAAAAAAAAACAAAGTACTCACCTTTCGCCGTACCCAAAGTTCTGGCCCACCACAGCAGCACCAGCATACAGCACCTCGTCGTTTGAGGCGCCTGGCCTGATTGGTTCAGGCGCGTCAAGTAGCGAGCATCTCACCTGTCGCCATACACAAAGATCTGGCCCACCACTGCAGCACCAGCATACAGCACCTCTAGCTTCTCTGCTGCCACATACTGCAGGGGGGTTGGGTGGGAGAAGGGACGTGGGATGATTGCAGGTGGGAGAAAGCACACGAACAAGCTATTTTATTTTTGAGGCGCCTCAAAAGCACACGAACAAGCTATTTTATTTTTGAGGCGCCTCAAAAGCACACGAACAAGCTATTTTATTTTTGAGGCGCCTCAAAAGCACACGAACAAGCTATTTTATTTTTGAGGCGCCTCAAAAGCACACGAACAAGCTATTTTATTTTTGAGGCGCCTCAAAAGCACACGAACAAGCTATTTTATTTTTGAGGCGCCTCAAAAGCACACGAACAAGCTATTTTATTTTTGAGGCGCCTCAAAAGCACACGAACAAGCTATTTTATTTTTGAGGCGCCTCAAAAGCACACGAACAAGCTATTTTATTTTTGAGGCGCCTCAAAAGCACACGAACAAGCTATTTTATTTTTGAGGCGCCTCAAAAGCACACGAACAAGCTATTTTATTGTGAGCAGCAACGGCATACAGCACCTCGAGCGTCTCTGCTGCCACATACTGCAGGGGGGGTGGGTGAGAAGTGCATAGCTTGAAGATTGTTGTTGTGGGCGTAGACTCAGCTTATCCTCACATCTGACGTGGAATGAGAATGCCAGCCTGGAATGCAAGGCTCGCGAGTGCAGTAAGAATGCCTCCCCTCCCCTCTTCTCCCCTGCACCTCACCTCTCCCCGAGCCACCCTCACCTCGCCCCGAGCACAGCCATCTCCTCGCCCTGTCTCTGCCTCACCTCGCCCTGGGCGAGCTTGAAGACGTTCTTCTTGCGATCGATGATGGTGAGTGTGCCGCCCTTTGAGGCACCCCAACAGCCAAGCTCACCTCAGAGTCTCTGCGTGTGTGTGTGCCTCCCCTCGCCCTGCCTCTGTCTCACCTCGCCCTGTGTGTGTCTCACCTCGCCCTGGGCGAGCTTGAAGATGTTCTTCTTGCGATCGATGATGGTGAGTGTGCCGTCCTCGTTCACCTGCATGCACCAACCAGCCACACACATGAACAGTGCACACGTGAGATCCATGAACAGTGCACACGTGAGATCCATGAACAGTGCACACGTGAGATCCATGAACAGTGCACACGTGAAATCCATGAACAGTGCACACGTGAGATCCATGAACAGTGCACACGTGAGATCCATGAACAGTGCACACGTGAAATCCATGAACAGTGCACGTACTTGATTTGCGCCTAAAACGTATCCATAGACGTGCAGGGCAAATGATTAACTAGTCACTGCTCACCTGCCCGATGTCCCCAGTGTGGAACCACCCAATACAGTCAATAACCTCAGCGGTCATCTCCTCCTGCTTGTGACCCCTGAATCATATCTGCACGGCCCGAAGCAAACGCTTCCCCAGTCACCACTCACCTGCCCGATGTCGCCAGTGTGGAACCACCCGTCACTGTCAATGACTTCAGCCGTCATCTCCTCCTGCTTGTAATACCCCACCATCACCGACGCTCCCCTGAAGCAAATCTGCACAGCACGAAGATTTAGGGAGGTGAGGGAGGGAAAGGGTTTGG